ATAAACAATAGTGACACTAAATATATTTAAATAAAACAGTAGACAGAAGGAAACTGTTTTCACACAGGTATAAACTGGCTTTCAGGAGACTTATATGGTACCTGCTGTCAGTAAGAATCACATTTTCACCAGGAAAAGATCAACGTTTTAATGAGAAGTATACATCACAGTGATATAATGTAGAGAACATACACACAGAATGAAATACACTGCAGGTATCCTTATATTACCTAATAGTGTGCCTAAGACTGGTGCATCACCAATGCATTACTATCATCTAAAAACTAAAGACTAAAATCTGTCCTTACAGGTATGACTCCAACATGGGAATTTTGAGAGCAGATAGAGAGTAGAAATGATCTGTCAACTCATCACATGTAAAGACATGCACAACTTCACAGTAATCTGCCAATATTTCACACTTTGTTGATCATTTTACTTTACTTCATTTAGCCTACTTGCAATGGTAAGTGCCTCGGTCTCATTCATACCACATCTATGCCATGGCTGCAATGTACTTAAAACAAAACAACATAAAATCATATGCAGTTAAGTGCTGCATTTATGGATACAGAGAAAAAACAATTGAAAATGTGAAGTTGGGTGCGCCAGTGGCCTAGTGGTTAGTCTGCATGCCCCATGTAAAGAGGCTGTGGTCCTCAATTCTCTGAATTTCCAACTCTATCCACAGTCCTGGCGCTCAAATAAACCCAAAAATAAATCTGACTCAAAATCATGGGGACAGGATTAGTGAGCAGATTGGTAACTGTCAAAAGATTTTTAAAAACTTGGTAGGAACAAGAAATGTCCTTTGTTGAAGTACCCTCTTGAGGAGAAACTCAATAACTGCAAGCATGTGGAAGCACATCCACAAGCAGAGCGTAAAATGGGAGTTCTCTATCATATTGGTATGTACTTGCACCTTTTTTACTACCTCTGATGGCAGATCAGGGATGGAACGACTTTGCCCTACCACATTTGGCCTCTGTGCGTTACACTTTGAAGGGAGATGTAACAGGAGCGTACATATCCCATCTTGAACTGGCAATATGTAAGCTTCAATAGTTCCAATACGATCGAGAGGTGTTGGTTAATTTATAACCTTGATTCTCTGAGTAAAAAAACAATGGCTTGGGAAGCATTTCAAAGATAACCAGCGAAATATTGCATATTTGGACCCAATAGTCTGTAAAGAAATCCACTTCAGCTTACCCCGTGTGGTCAGTTTCAACAGGAATATGTTAGTGTGTGTTAAAGAAATCTCTAAATACAATCTTTCAGACAAAACGTCTTGTTTTCAATTGTATTGTTTCCATTATCAAACAACCCCTCCCCTATGTTACACTCTTTGTGAGGACACAAACCCTGCTGAAATGTAATACCCATCACTCCAGTTGTGGTCTATTGTGTGTTGTCAAAAACTGGGGCATGATAATGTTTCTTCCCAGAAACAACTTCTACCAGCTCTGCATTTTTCTTTCCGCTTACAATGATGTCCATTACAGCTTATTCTGTGGCTCTGCAATTTAAAAGTTGGACCATGTTTGGTTTTACTTGCTGGCTGTTTTTCCTGCTTCTTGGAACTGCATTTGTTGGTAAGGAATTTAAACTGTCACATGAGGACTCATTTATAAAAATAAAAAACTAGACCCAACTTTAGTTTTCTAACTGGATAAAACTAAACTGAAAACAAGACCATCGTCACAGGTACTGCTCTTGTTGATTCTATAAATGTGATTAGTATTGTTCTTCAATTGTTTCAGTAATGTAACCAAAGGGTTTAAAGTGTTGTGACGACCGTGATGTTGTCAAAGAAAAAAAGGGGAAAAAAACAATGAAAACAGATTTCTAAACAATGCTTATTGTGGGATTAGAGATAATGTTTTGCAATGGTATTATATCTGGTTCTCAGGTTTATTGCGGGAGGCTGAGCCACAGAGAGAGACCGACTCATTGGAGGATCAACCACTCCTTCAGAATTCCTTCACTACAGGTTATCAGTGTTTCTGTTTATGTCAGAAGGAAACTAGGTCAAGTTAATATAATTGAATCCTATTAGCAAAATCATGATACGTTTAATAACACAAAAACCCAAATGATTGTAAATACAGTAAGTGTTCTGTCTTTTTGGTTCCAGTCTTTCCTGTTTTGCAGAGTCCACATGACACCAGCATGCCAACAAACAATGTCAGAAGAAGAAGAAGTGACAATAGTGATAGTGTGGCTCACACTGAAGACTCTGCTTTGCCTCCAAACATTCTGACTGTCTCTCATCTTTCTTCTCTCAGACATCTGGTGTCTGACAAGAAAATCACAGGTTGAGCTATTTCCCCTATTTGAATTGAAACAAGAAAAGATAGATCTTTAATAGGCAGATGCATACACTCTGACAAAGTCACTTCAACAGTTTCACTGCACCTTAGTGTCAGATTGGTACAGACACAAACTATTACAGCTATTAATCCTGTAAAAAGGTTAATTCCACACTAATATTAGCTGCATCCAACAGTTGGAGAACCGAGTCTTGTCAGCTCTAATCGTGCTCACAATGGGAAAGAAAAGCTTTGTCACATGCCTTTTTGGTGTACCACTGCTGGGCAACATTTTAACCACAAGATGGCAGCAAAAGAAGGGAAAGGATTTTGGCTTGCTTGCTACTTTTAAAAAAAACGGATTATTTTCCCTATTCAGTGCTCACTCTTTTTCCATAGTTTTTATGAATGTGTAGTGGCAATATTGTTACCAATCAGATTGTGGAATTGAGACCCTAGTTTTCAGTCAAATGACCATCTATACCCTCCGAGACACTCCACAGTGTGTTTTAAATAAGCTTAGAGAGAAGCATCACTTAGCATTAAGCTTTATGAACAAAGTATATCGATCAGATGAAACTCAAGGTTTACTTCTTAACTGCAGCAAATATTGGTCAGAAACAGTGAGAGACAGAGACAGAATATAGCCTTAAGGGTTCATAAACTCAATCTGGATTTTCATTGTAATGTGAACATGTTTCCATGCATTGTTTTCCAGAGCAGGGGATGGTCTGAATCAATGAATCAAAGTCAAGAGTCAGTATCAACTTTTGTTTTTGTAACGCAAAATAAATATTAATCACCTTATTGGGGTTAACCCTCAGATTATATTACAATTTAGGCTTTTATAAAACACCTGATTGTTAAATTATTGAAAGCATTTTAAAGCAATTATACTGATTACAAGAAATTACGAAACAATTGTAATCTGCTTGTGGTTATTAGTTGAATAATTCATAATTCCTTCATGAGAACACAAACGGCAGGGGGAGTGCAGTTGAAGCCGTAAACATATTTTTCTCTGTTGTTTGTTTTTTTGTGAGGGGACTTGGAACTACTCAGGGGCTACATGACCTACAAAAGCAAACAAGACCATGAGGATCAATAATGATAATGTCTATATTGTTATTGTTAATGCCTGTAACTGATGCCTTAGATATCAGATGAGTTGAAATGCACAACGAGAAACAGCCTGGTGACATTTATAACAAAGGTTCTCTATGAGTGATACATTTGGCTGTTGAAGAAAGCAGGATGACATTTTTGTTTCAAAAAGAGATACTCAATGCGTTGACATGCAATTGCAAAACTCGATTTTTTTGTGTTAGTGTTCTAAAACTGGACTTTTAAAAGGCATGTAAACATGTTAGTCAGGCTGGAATATTACTAAATGTTTCATAACTGGCTAAAAATTCTTCAAAGGAGCTTTAAGGCAGAGGCCTTTGCCTAATTTTTTGTAGTGATAAAGAAATGATTTGATTTGATGGAAATTATGACAATTCCGCTGAGGCTGCTTTCTCATTTAAACGTTTAGGCCCTTAAATGGGTTCTTTCTTTGTTTGTTTTTTGCAGTTCGCTTAGGTCTCCGTGTAATTCTCACTGGTCCAAGTGACTTTCTTGATCCCGAGCTCCTCCTCTCCCTGGGCAAAGAGGTCAGCAGACTAATCAACAACTATACAACTTTAAAAGACTTTACATACAAACTGAGTTAATCCAATCAATAAAGACATTTATTTAAAATAAAAAAATGCTCAAAGCTTTACCTTGTGGTACAGTATCTAGTCGGGAAACATATGAGTGTGTTTAGTAGGGAGGGATTATAAATGTGATTATTATTGCAGAAGCGTTGCCTCAGGCAGTATGTTGGACTGTATTAACCTGACAAAGAAGTGCACAGAGAAAACACCAAATCGATAATTAGCCAGTCTAAAGTTCAAAGGCTGAACGGAATTGCCTTTAGTCAGACTTTATCATGTATTCATCAGTAAACAATCAGGCAAGCCCACAGGGCTCTCGGTAGTTATGTAGTAAATTATCTCTCAACTTATAACCTCACTGGAATTTAGCCTAAGTCTAACAGCAATTTATAATTTAACAACAGGCATAAGTGGATTAAAGGATTAGAATTTCCCACAGACTCCTGATGAAGTGTTTAAGGTTTCATGGTGAAAAGCATTTTTTGAACTTAGAATGAAGTTAAGAAGTTGAAGTAGCAATTAGGCCTATGGAGAAAGCATGCAAGTGACGCTCTTGTGTTGAAGTTGGTGCTTATAACGTTCCCCTCTTTTTTTGTTTCTTTTTGTCTTTGAGAAGACAAGAATCTACAACACTGGTGGGAAGAATGGACTCTTTTCCATGAGAATAGTGGGAATAAAGAAAGTGACCCCAACATCCTGATGTCATCATCATTACAAGCATTCTTTGGATAATTTGAGATGTTTGATAAATAAATAAAAAATCTCGCTTTTCTTGAATTCAGTGAGACTAAGGTAATATAACTGTGCTTGTCATTGTTGTTTTGTGTTTATTCATCAATTAAAGATTAACTTAATTATCGACTAGGATGTCTTACATGTGTGCTGCCGCTGACAGCTGGCCCCGCCCACCGACCCGGCCAGCAAATTGAAATCGACGCCGGCTCTTTTATGTGCACACCCCCTACGGGTGTTTCTGATGACCGTTGGGAAGTTTGTTTTTTTTGCACTTCACCGGTCACGGTGGTGGTAGTGATTGCTTTACGGTTCGTTTGTAAATAATCCGGACACGCGCATCCGTAATTGCGTAAGGATGACAGACACGGCCTCCCTCGAGGACACTCTTCCCGACGTGGACAAGGAGTTCGAGAGGATTGTCACTCTAATCGGAGGTAAAGAGAGGATTTATTTGGTGGGGGACGTGTGTGAAAGTAAAGAGGCAGACGGTGATGCCGCTGGAATAATGCAGGAGTTCGTCCGGGAAATGTTTCCTGGCAGTCTGACCAACATAAACGGACATCCCACGTCCTCTCCGTCAAGCATCCACGTCGACACTGCAGGTGAAATTTGCAGCAGCACAGAGACTGTTAAAAATGATTTTCCATTGACACCAAGGCCTAAGGATTTGGATTTGAAAGCCAGTCCGGTGAAGGTGGCGAGAAAGAAGCAGCCAACGACGCTCAGTGACAAAGCTCGAAGAACAGCGGCGAGGAGGCTCAACATTTACAGCAAAAAGCGAACCATAGACTCTCCCCTCATAGTGTTCATCTTCAGACAGACATTTGTCGTGAAACGTTCAAACGAACTATGTTTAAGAGAGATCTTAAAGGACGTGAAAGCACGCACCAAACGTGCAGGAGTCGCCCGACCAGCTCTGATTGGATTAATACGCACCAGACAGGAGAGCGCCGAGACGCTTCAGTGTGCGCAAATCCTGGAGGGTCAGATCCGCTCTGTGTTTCACAAGCATTCGCCTGAGTCAGTGTGGGTCGGCTGTTTCATCCCGAAGACAGAAGCTAACATAAACAACATCAAGAAAAACGTCTGCAAAGTGATTCACTCATCTCAAACAGCAGGTGTAACAACATGCCTAGTATTCTCTGAGTTTTAAGAGGAATCAAACCACAGCAAACACTATTATTGGTTATTGGGTCCTGTAACTAGTCCAGGATGATGCAGTTTTTTCTCTTCACTCAAATCCCCCTTTTTTTAAGCAGACCTCAGCAGGTCAAATCTTTGTTTACATGAAGTTTGGACTTTAGTGTATTTAGTACCATGCAGATGCACCAAGTAGCCTATTACGTAGCCAAAACGAACTACAGACACTCATTTGAAATACAAACCATCCACATACTTACTGAACATAAAGTGAACACGGATTTAGAGAAACATATAATCCATAAGCAATAAATTATAAAGCACATTCAAATGATATCAAGGTATGGATAATACCTTTGCTAATGGTAAGATTATGGTCAACTCACAGTATGAGTCACAGTGGGAGTTCCTACAGACCCTGTAGTGGTTTGAACACCACTATGTAGGTCAATCCATGTAACTCACTGGATCCAATTTTTTTTGCACACATTTTTCTTCCCAGGCATGGCTGCAAAGGCCTGGGAATAAAGGGAGCATTCATGAAACAAGCAAGCCTTTTGATAAGCTGCCAAATTGTTAAAGGCCTATTATTGCCTTCCAGATAATACCAGGGATAGAGAGAAGCTCCTTTTCTGGCCACTTCAATGTTTGCTCTTGCCTCAGAGAGGGGGAGCCAGAAGCCAGCCCAACAACTCTTCCACCAGCAGGCAAAGAGGTAGAAGCATCATCCCATAGTTCAGTTTAGCTGAGGCACGGATGTAGGCTACTGCAGTCTATCACAGGGTCAGCATGCTCACAAAACCATTTACGCTTCCTGGGTTTCTCTTTTGGATCCGATCTCATGAAGTGCATGCTGTTAATCGAGTTAGACAAATATGTGTTTGAAACTTTGCATATATAATATTGATGTATACTGGCTCAATATCAAAGACACAAACAATGTTTTAATTGTGTTTCCTGTTTCTTTTTTAAGGTGAAACTGGAAGTATGGAGGAATGCATCCCTCTGAAAATTGTTTCCTTGCCTGCTGGACCTCCTGTGAAAGGGAAATCTGCTGGACAAGGCAGCTGATGTTATGACCCTATAACCCGTGGCTGCGGGCATATCACTGTAGACAAACATGTGATAACTGTGAAGAAAAATGCCTTATAGTACTACAGATTCGTATTAAATGTTACAGCGTTTCTTCTTGGTGCTCGATATTTTCCACACTGAGCCAACATGAGTTGTGTCACTGTTGCCTTCTTTCTGTTTAAAGTAACTTTTAATTGGTTGGATAAGAACAATTTCACATAACTTTACATCAGTTTTTCTTTGTTTGACATGGGCCTCTAATTCTGTCATTTTTGGAAATGTTAATACTCAAAGTGGACGCACTTGAATGCTCGCAACAGAAGTGCTCTTTTAACATGACTCATTCTCCGGCTAAGGGGCCGGATAACCTTCTGGTCCCAGAACTCAAGTAGCCGTAAAAAGGTCCATTCTTACTGTGTCTCATGAAGTTTGGGCTAATTTCATTCACGATTTATATCAGAATACAGATCACCTAAACAAAACATAAAATTGTATAACAAAGGCCCCAATGGGAAGGGGCCCAGCTAAATTATTCCCTGAGGCACCCAGTAGCAAAGTGAATCCAACCTTTTTATTGCTAAGTGAAAATGTTTTCAATTTTCAGCTTTCATGTATTCCAGTTATGTGCCTTAGATGAATACTATTGAAATAAAATTATAATAGAATAAGTGCATAACTGCTTTCACTTTGTATGTATTTATAAGACTAAGGTCTGCACATTCAACATGTAAATAAACAAATTTAACCCTGCTGCAGTGTGCAACTTGTTTTTGGAAGGGTTCTAACTTTATGGTTTTAAATTAATTATTATAGGATTTAGGGAGACACGTTTGGGAAGCTTGTATTAATTCATTAATCACCGTACTGTATTTTTCTATTTCAACTACTAGCCTGATAGCCACAGAGGTATCTTTGACATCGTTGTTTCTCATCAGCACGATTTTCTTACCGACAGGCAAAAGGACTGACTCACGACTGGCCATCTTACGCATAGCCTGTCTATAAATAAACGCAATCAACGCTGCCTTTTTTTATACTGACACAAACATTTGTGGATATTATATGATTGTATTTTTTTAAAACAGCAAACTACTAAAAACTGATCTATACTTTGAAAACAGAACCTCTAATGTTAATATGCTTGTGTATTTTTGATCAGGCTTTAATGAGGCTAGCATAGCCAAGAGGTCCTTCAGAGGGGTGCATCGCTGTATTGGACAAAAAGAGGTTAGCGACGGCGGCGTTCGGTAATACAGTTTTGCTTTTGTATTACGGAGACTATTTTTTATTTCTAATACCCCGAAATCTGCACGGAATCCCACCCGTCGTACCGCGTTCGTGGGGCTGAGGAGGGTCAACACAAACAATTATGATTACATCTGCCGGTAAGTTGAGGAAAGTGTATTATTGTGCTAGCCGCAGCTTTAGCTATCTGCCATTGAATTAGCTGAGTCACAAAGCTAACTTAGCACTTAGCCTTCATCCTGTAATCTCTATTTCTACCAAAAAAATAAACTTAAGAAAGACTTTTATGTATTTCAATGTTTGTTTTGTTTAACCACACAACATTGTATTTACTGTCTTGTCTTTCGTAGTGTAGTAATTCTGTTTAATGTAACGCAGCACTAAACATCGTAGTTTGTAGTTTCCTTGTTATTCAGATACAAAAGTGGTGCGTTCAAGTTCAACTAAAACAAAAGAGTGACTGCTCATTACGGAGAAAACACAGACAATCAAACACAATTATTTCACTACATTCTTTGTCCCAAAATAATAATCCTGCTTTGATTGAGTTTGAAAGCTTAACTTTGAGCTCATAAATTACAAAATAAATCACATCTGTGTATTGATATTGATAATGTCCAAATACATGAATGGAACCTGAAGTATAACACTTTCCTGTTATGGTGTATTTATCATGTAATAAGTGAATCTCTTCTCATGTCAGTATAGAAATGTAACACACAGCTAGATGTTGTTTTTATCTGCATTAATCTTTGGATAATAAAGAATGGATATTAACTAAAACCTGTGATTTAATTCTGTTTTCTCTTCTTTTTTAAAGCTGGAATTATTTCTCTCCTCGATGAGGAGGAGCCACAGCTCAAGGTGAGACCCCCATGCAGCGTGTTTACCACTTTGTAATTGGCTAGAAACAATTAAATATCATGTCAAACAGCTTTTTGTTTATTTGTATATGCACACACTTGTAAGTCACTGGTTACTCTTTAGATCAGGGGTCTCCAACCTTTTTTCATCTGAGAGCTACTTTCAAAAAATGAAAGTGGCCAAGAGCTACTTGCATCAAATCGCTTGCATTTATTTACACAGCTCAGCTGAATTAAGCTACTGTTTGTACATGTGTGACATTGCAATAAGCCAATGCTTATCAATAATCTTAAATTCACATCAATCTCCAAGAAAACATTAGTACTTCATTTTTATGGGCTAAATATATGAATAGTGGGAAGAGGTGCATTTACCGTCGTCAGATTTTTATTTTTAACACAGTCGGTCAACCTATAGGCGAGTTACTGAAAACCTGCCCGTGAGCTACCAGTAGCTCCCGAGCTACCTGTTGGAGACTCCTGTGGTAGATATTACTAATTACTCTGAAAATGTTAAGTTAACTTTTAGGGTTAATGCAATACACACCACAGTCCATTTTTTGGAAAAAGAGCTGTTTAAACTGTTGCTCCCAAACACAGTTGACTATAAGTGTACATCTTATGAATGATGGTAAATACAGAAATATTGTCTAATGTGTGTCTGCAAAAAATGTCTTTCACTTGCAGGAGTTTGCTCTTCACAAGCTAGACTCCATTGTGAATGACTTCTGGGCTGAGATATCAGGATCAGTTGATAAAATGTAAGTATTGTTGATAGGCATCAATATAAGAATATTACTTTTTACCAAAAGTTTTAATCTCCTAGTTATTTTTTTTAAATCTTGACGTCATCTGATATTTTCATTTTTAATTTAACTCAAAGTATACCCGATGTGCAACACATTAAACTGTGCTTTCAAGTGTTGAACTATTCAAGACAGTATAAACATGATTTTCAGTCTCTTTAATTCACATGTTTTCTTCTCACAGTGAGGTCCTGTATGAGGATGAGACCTTTCAAAGCAGAGCATTTGCTGCCCTGGTGGCCTCTAAGGTTTTCTACCATCTTGGAGCCTTTGAGGAATCACTGAATTATGCTCTTGGAGCTGGAGATCTGTTCAATGTCACAGATGACTCAGAATATGTGGAGACCATCATTGGTGAGTTGCTAATAGGAAACACTTGACCTTTTCATTTCTGTTTTGTTAGTTATCATTTGATATTTCGGATGTGTGTTTTTTTAAACACCAGACCCTAATACTTTGATTGGATGTCAGTAATTAACTTACATGAAAAACAAATGTTTTTGTAATTGATGTGTGCAAACCTACTGGGGCTTTTCTGTGGTGCTAACTTAAATTACGTTCTTGTATTCAGAAGTGAATGGAATCTTCTTTTTACATGGTTTTTATTTTTGTTCTAGCCAAATGTATCGACCACTACACCAAACTGCGGGTGGAGAATGCCGAGCTGCCAGAGGACGAGGAGAAGAAAAGCATCGACCCCCGTCTTGAGGGTATTGTCAACAAGATGTTCCTGCGTTGCCTAGACAATCACAAGTACAAGCAGGCCATTGGCATCGCCCTGGAGACCAGGAGGCTTGATATGTTTGAGAAGACCATTTTGGAGTCGGTAAGCCACTATTGTGATTCAGAGATGAGTAGAGAACCACTTCAGTAAAATACACTTCATGTTTTTGTGGTTAAATTAACTTAATCACAGTACAATATGACCATATTTTTTAAAACATTACGTTTAAATCCCTGCAACTGCCCTGGTGTATAATTCCTTTTCTGCACAATGTATAATTTTTCTTCTTTCACCTTTCATGCAGAACGACGTGAGTGGCCTTCTTGCTTACAGCCTGAAGGTCTGCATGTCTTTGATGCAGAACAAGAAGTTCCGCAATGAGGTGTTGCGTGTGCTGGTCAAGCTCTACATGAACTTGGAGAAGCCTGATTTCATCAACGTCTGTCAGGTAACAACCTTTAGAACACTAAATTAATCAGCTCAATTACTTAATGACTAAAGTTACAAATACATGTAGGCTAAATAACTGAAACACATCTCTCAATAATGCAGTACAGTATAACAGCATCCAAAACAATATCCTCCAGTGGTTGAAAAGTCCAACTAAAACCTCCCTGAAGAAGAACTGAACATGTCTAAAATGTTGCATGTTATTTAAGGACACACTGCTCAAGTTGAGTCAGGTGAACCTAAAATAATGGCTACTGAACTTGGCACAGGCCTGCATGAAATCTTCAACTTTATACAGAAACTACGGGGGGAAAAAGTCTCAATACTCTACATCCTATTAGGCAGCTGAAAAGAGTGCTGATCAAACCTGAGCTCTACATTTTCTGAATTTACCAGAAGCACAAATCCCCTTTGAATAACTGTTATTTTTTCCTCGCCTCTTTAGTGCCTGATATTCCTGGATGACCCGCAGGCTGTGAGTGACATCTTGGAGAAGCTAGTCAAGGAGGACAACCTGCTGATGGCTTATCAGATCTGCTTTGATCTGTACGAGAGCGCCAGCCAGCAGTTCCTGTCTTCTGTCATCCAGAACCTGAGAACCGTTGGAACACCCATCCCTTCAGTCCCAGGCTCTACAAACACAGGCACTGTGCCCACACCAGACAAAGACAGGTGGGCAGGAGAGAAACAAAAGGGCACACTAATACTTAGCCTGAAGCAGTGTGCCTGGTTTTACTGACACAGATCATATCAGCTTTCTTACTGTGAAATTATTTTGATTAAAAACTGCAGAAAACATCTGTTTTAACTTTCTGTGAAACTTTAAGTCAGGAAGAAGGTTTGGTGTAAGCACTGTTTTCCTGTGTGTGTGGAAAACAGTGCTTCACTAAACAAGTGAATGGAAGAGTTTGAAACTAACACACATTTACAGTGATTAGGTTAGGAGACCTGGACTAGCTAGCAGAAGCTGTACAATCGCTTATTTGAGTCATCCTCGTATTTACTTCTGATAAAATTATTCAGAAATGACAAAATATGTTTTATGTCTTACAGTGATGCAATGGAGACAGATGAAAAAGCTGGCAGCTCCCCTGCTGGAAAGCAAACAGAAACTGTAAGCTCTTGATTTTTTAAATAGTTTTTTACCCTAGCCCTTTTGTGTTATACAATGTGCATGTTATATTTCTCGAAGTAGAGAAAACTTTGTCTTTCAGTTTCAGTTCATCATATTGCTTCTCTGTTTTTTTGCAGAAAGATGAACCTAAAGATCAGAACGCCAAGATGATCAAAATCCTTAGCGGGGAGATGGCCATTGAGCTGCACTTGCAATTCCTAATCCGAAATAACAACACAGATCTGATGATCCTCAAAAACACAAAGGTAATGTTGGCTAGGGAAATGACCATTGTTCACAATCAGATGAGCTGCAGGTTGCATGCTCACTGTATTTTCTTTCATGGCTTACTGCTTTACTCTTTCATTTACTTGAAACTCACTTACATTTTTTTTTTTACTCCAGGATGCAGTCCGAAATTCGGTGTGCCACACAGCCACAGTAATAGCAAACTCTTTCATGCACACAGGAACCACAAGCGACCAATTCCTCAGGTACTGTAAATGTGATGTTAGAATGGGAATGTGTTCTTCATAGACTGCATTAAG